GAAAACAAGTGTTGATAAAACTTTGTACACATTAGAACTCCTATACATTACTGGTAGAAATTTAGAATATTAGAATAAGCCAGGCGAGGTGGTGCATGCCTGTAATCCCAGCATTCAGGAAGCTGAGGCAGGAGGATTGACATGAGTTCAAGGGCAGCCTGGGCTACACAGTGAGACTCTGTCTCTATAGAGCAAAAATAAAATAAAATAGTTGTAGGAAACAGGTTTTTAATTTCTCAAAATATCAAGTATTGAATTAATATAGGACTGAGAATACTTTTTGATATATAACAAAAGAACTGAAAAAAATCTTCTGACATATCAGGAGAATTCATAATAGCTAAAAGATTAAAAGAACCTAGATATTCATCAATACATTAATTATTAAAGAAAATGTGGTACGTATACAGATGCGGTATTATTTAGCCATAAAAACGAGTGAAGTTCTGTTTCATGCTCCAATATGAGTGAGCCTCAAAGACCTCGTGCTAAGAGAAATAAACCAGATTTAAAAGACAAACATTGTATAATTCCAATTATATAAATCATCAAGAATAGAAAAATTCATAGAGGCAGAAGGTAAGGTAGACATTACCAGGGGCTATAGGAGGAAGAAATGGGAAGTTATGGCTTAGTAGTCAAACAGTTTGGGCTTAGTGTACTGAAAAACTTAATAATGGTGATGTTTGCACAATACTAAAGTGCAATTAATTCAACTAAATTTTGTATTTCAAATTGGTGAAAATTACATATTTTCAAAAATATAAGTAGATATAAGGAGCATTGATAAAAGGATGAAATTATGAAAGTAATTGTAATATACATGATTCATATTTGGTGGATCTGTTGACATTGTCATGAACTTTAGGAATTCCTCCCTTACAATACAGTGACCGGGTCCAACCATATTAAACTAAGTAGGTTGAGCAGGTAGATCATATCAAGAAGCAAAAAAAGATAAAATCATATCACTGGAAAAGAGAGACCAGAGGGATCTTCATATGAGCCACAGAAGAATCTTTCCATTCAAGGTGATCCTCTACACTCAGGACACACACACACGCACACACAGACACATACACACACACACACACACACACATGCATGCATTCCCACACACACACACACAAAAGGATAAGAAGACAAGACAACAAAATGCCTCCCAAAACTCCCAACTCTCCAAAACAGATCCACAGGTCACCAATGGAAAGATGATTGAATGTCAATTGGGTCAATTGTATGAAAAGATCAAAGAAGAAACAAAAAAACAAGCTCAAAAATAATACAATTGAATAGATAATGTACTTAATAAAGAAATTGATTAGTAAGCTTCAAAAAGATACAAATAAACAATTAGAAGAGTTAACCAAAAGTATTTAAAACATGAACGACAATTTAACAAAAGTTAGTATCTATTAAAAGGTGCCAAACAGAAATACAGGAGATAAAGAATTGTATTGAAAACATGGGCAACAAAAGTGACCACAGTGAGAAATTATGATCGGAACTGGAAGATAGGTCTAATGCATGTGACCCTATACTCAGAATAGTCTTAAAAATAACAAGAAAGCAGGTTAAATTGATCCAACAGCTGCTTGATGATACAAAGACTAACAGAGCAAGCCCATATAAACAACCTAGTAATGCACCTCAAAGCCTAGCAAAACAATAACCGTCCAATCCAGTGCTCATAAATGGAGGGAAATTACAAAGATCAAAGTGGACTAAATCAAGACTAAGAGAAACAATATAAAGAATTAATGAATCAAAGGTAAAGGGATCTCCATACTAGCCATATTTGCTGGTTCAACAAGAGAGTAAACAAAGTAGACAAACCTTTAACCAGTGTTACCAAAAGAAGGAAAGAAAAGAACCATATTAAAGCAATCACAAATCAAAAAGGCAAAATCACAGTGGACACTGCCAAAATTCAGAAGATCATTAGTAACTACTTTGAAAATTTGTGCTCTAATAAGTTGAAGAATTTAGAAGAGATAGATGGATTCTGAGACATATATGAATTACTAGAACTGACCCAGAAAGATACAAAAACCCTGAACTGTCCAATAACAGGCAGTGAATTTGAGGGAGCAATGAAGAGTCTACCAACTAAGAAAAGTACAGGATCCAATGCATTGACAAATGGATTCCCCAAGAACATCAGTGAAGATCAGTGAAGATGTAATAACAATACTCCTCAAATTTTTTGATGAAGTTGAAAAGGAAGGAGTACTGCCAAAGTCATTCCAGGAAGCTAGCAATACCTTGATTCCAAAACCAGACAAATACTCAACTACAAAAGAAAACTGTGGGCCAATCTCTTTCGTGATCATTAAGACAAAAATCCACAAGAAGATACTGGCAAGCAAAATGCAACAAATCATTAAAATAATCATACATCATGACTAAGTAAGCTATATCTCAGGACTTCAAGGATAGTTCGACACAGCATGTCTTAGCACACCACATAAACAGAAATAAGGACAAACATCATGTGATAATCTCCATAGATGTAGAAAAAGTGAACGAATGTGACTGTATCAATTTAAAAAGCTTTTGGGTAACAAAGGAAACAACCAATAGTGTGGAGAGATAAACTACAGAATAGGAAACAAATCTTCGCCAGCTACTCCTCAGCCAGAGGACTAATCGCTGAACTATGTAAAGAACTCAAAAAAGTTGACCTTCAAAAATAAAAGGCTCAATCAAAAAAAAATAAGACATCGAAATAAAGAGACATTTCTCAGAAGTACAGATGGCCAAGAAATTCTTGAAAAATATCTTCAACATCTCTGGTCATTGGGAAAATGCAAATTGAAACAACACTGAGATTCTACTTTATTCTAGAAAGCATGGTTATCATCAAGAAATTAAAGGATATCAAGCCCTAAAGTAGACTATCTTTTTTCATTAATTTTGTTGCTCACTTTTAGACTTTTGATTAATTTAAAACTAATTGACTGGAGACCCTTATTTATCTCTAATGTCCCTTAAACTTCTTGCATAAAAAGTCTTAATTATGAAATTGATATCATATTCATAGGTCTTTCCTGCAATCAAGAAGAGTAAATTATACAGGCTATGTATACCAGGAGATTGTAATTGTAGAGGACCTTTTAGGATTGTACCTGTCAGATCCTTCAAAGTTTATATGTCGGTTCTCTAAAGCAAAATTTTAAAGGAAATATCTTTACAACTTTGAGTTATAATGCAAGAGTGGTACCCATAAAATGATAAGTTAACAAGAACTACTTTAATACAATGAATAATTTCTTTTCATGAAATGATCTAAATTAAGATAAACTTAAAAGTTACACATTTGAAGAAGCTACTGTAGCATATATTTTAGCCTTCTGTGTGGTAGGGAAGAAACCGAGCAATAAACAAACAAAATCTTTAAGGCAAATAGCTTCAACTAGTTATCTCACTGTGTCTCATAAACATTATTCTTTTTAATGAGTACTACAGTGGAAATATGTTGAGTCACTGACATAAAAAATTCTTGCAACTAGTAGCTAGCATACAAACAATCCAAGAGAAAATTTGTCAAAGTGAAATAGTCATGTCTCAGAAATGGAAACAGATGACAAGTTAACATGATGAAAAACTGTGCAACTCAATTAGTAATGAAAAATACAAAACAAAATTTTATATCCATCAGAGTGGCAGAAGTAAAGAAAGATAATGTATACAATTGTGAACTTTTAAGTTGGTAAAACAATTATGAAAAATCATATGGTACAATGTTATGCAATGAAGTTCTGCTTCATTATCTAGAAAGTATATCACATAGAAATATATTTGAAAATGTAAACCAACAGGTATATAATATTGCTTATAATCACGCTCCTTATAATGGCAAAAAGGGAACATAACTTAAATCTCTATAGAAAGGCAATTAATTAAAATATTTATATTTAACTGCAATAAGGAAGCAATTTTTAAAATTTATGATATGTAAAATGCATGATTTGATATTTTTTACTTATGTTATATTTGAATTTGGTCAAAGCAAATTCAATGATTTTGTTAACGTTGATATAAAGATATTTTAAAGATAAGAAATAAGCATATACAACAATTATTTTTGTTAGCTGAAAACAGCCAGGATATAAAATCTTCTTTACAATTTTTAAATAAATGAACAGATATTTATTACCATTAGTACTTGGTATTATTAAAGAGATATTTTTGTATATTCTCTGGAAATGTTGGTAATCTCAGATATTTATTTTCCTTATCATATGATAAATAATATGTTATAAATTATTCTTTGCTCAAGGCATGATTGTATATTGGAAAGTATTTATGTAATTTCTTTCTGTGCTGATTTTTAATTACTGTGTTTTAATAATATTTTAAATACTAAATTGAATAATTGCAATTTAACTAAATTCAGATTTTTGCATAAGTGCATAAATAATGTATAAGTACATGCACATATTTTAGTAAGATATAATGCTCTATTATATATCCTGTCATAGCGTGCCTCTCCAAGTTTGTGCTCCCAGTTTTGCCAACATATTTTAATATATTTGAGGGATTCTGTTTCCAAATAATATCCTAAAATAAATCTATACCATTAAATCTAGTCATCTTGATTCAAATTTCGCTCTAACTTTTTTCAAGTTTTATTACTTCATGGAAATAGCACACCTTTTCCATGTTAACTTTATAAAAACATATGCAAATGTGTGGAAAACCACTCTCCACCTACATGTACTTTTTATAATGTCTTCTTAAAGTAGATTTGCATTAATCATGCTTCAAATAAGATATTCTATAAATAGAAGCATGTCATTCATTGAAATTGTAATCTGGAAGGTACAATGCAGCAAATAAAGACCCTATAATGATATAACGGTTAAAATTCAGAAATACTCTGATGCATCATTCCAATGAAATCCGTGCATTTGGAATTCTTTTCTGCTGTTGCTTGCTTTTCTGTGTTTATCACATAATATAATATATTCAAGGTATTTACTTCCATTTATTACCAGGTTATCCAGATAAATTTTGAAGAATTTGATCTTGAGATTGGCTATGATACCTTGACAATTGGTGATGGCGGTGAAGTTGGAGACCCTCGGACAGTGCTCCAAGTGTGAGTTCTTCATGTTTGATTTTTGTTTTAGCCTATCAGACACTGATTGTTTTACTCTCATTTTTTTACATTGATTCTTCCCACTACTATAAACAGAAGAAGCATAGCATCTTATTTATTATCACCAACTCACACATAATCAATTTATTAGTTTATTTTCAGTGAAGCTTGAGGCACTTTATTTTATTAGCTGTGGGCTTCTATAACTACACTAATCCTGGTGGCTTATAACTATAACTGTAATACACTAAACCTGGTGGCTTATAAACCACAGACATTTATTTCTTATGGTTTGAGACTCCGAGAAATCTATGACAAAAGTGCCTCCAGACTTGAAATCAAGGAGAGGATTGCCCTCATCTACTCTGATACTTCTCAAAATAGAGTCTGTTTGCATCATCAATGGATCACAATTTCTTAACAGCCTTTAAAATGTAGATTTTTGAACTTATACTAATTAGCCTGACTAAATCAGAATCTCTGCTGTTGATATCCAACAATGTACATTTGACCACACTCACCAGATGGTCCTTATGTACACCAAAATGCTATAACTGATGTTTAGAATATATTTTTAGTATAAACGATTCCTAGGGGTAATCCTGTTATCATGTGTGTATTTATTATCATGGATATTGACCAATTTTCTCTATATATATTGATTTTCATATATATGTAGCATGAAAGCTGATTTTCCTTTTTTTCATTTTTGCTCCTTTTTTAAATTTAAATTTTAATTTTTATTTTTACAAGGAGATCTCTTTAAGTATTGTTAGTCCAGATTCCAACAATAAAGTCAAAGATAACCTGATGGTTACACGAAATACATTCTAGATCTCAATATTACTGCCTCTTAGTTCTTATCTTCTGGCAAAAAAAATTAAGAAACAAACACAAAACCTTTCTCTTTTCGCTTGTCTTCAGGCACCTTGACCTTAACTTCAACTTCTTTCCTCCCTCTAAATATGGATATCATTGGTCAATACAATTGGTTGTCTATTTATGGCCTATTGCAGGTCCATTTTGTGCTAAGGTAGGGACAAGAAGACTGATATTTTCCCTACTCTGTTTGTTTAGACATATTGCTACAATTTTGTTTACTTTAACAATTTCCTTCCCAATAATCATCAGCATTTTATCAACATCTTGAGCCTTTTATTACTACGTTGGGATAATTGGCTAGGAACAATTTATAATTCCTCGAAAATATCCTTAATTTTATATCATATAGCCTAGAGTTCATCATACTAAATAGGAGTGTAATGGAAATCGGCAGCTGTGGAGCCAATGATCAAATAGAACTGGTTTTTGTTTTGTTGTTTTGTTTTATTTTTGCCTGTCAAGTACAGTATTTTAGAGAACTAAATTTACATATAAAAATTTGAACCTGTGATTGCTTTTGACTAAAGGGTGACTTGAGGCCTAAATACTCATACGACATAAAATTACTTGAGCCATTTTCTGTCCTCGGAGAGGACATAGGATTCCTGTAGCCGCTAATTCTTATGACTTTACACTTGAGCTTCTGGGATTGTTTGCACTATCTGATGATAAATTTCTATCATCATTTAAGCATGTGGCACCTAATACAACACAAAACTTACGTTGCTTTATCTTTAAATATGTTTAAAAGAAAAGTATGTCTGAGAAAGAAAAGTATGTCTGTTCTTATATCTGATACTTCATAAAAATTGAAGTTTCTTGGAAATTAAAATGTAGCATTTTGGTAATTGATCATTACACATTTGACCCATCATATGCACTTTAAAAATTTCAAAACATGTAACTGGGTGTGGTGAAGTGCACCTATAATTGCAATACACTGGAAGGCTGAGGCAGGAGGAACTCAACAAGTTTCACCCCATCATAGACAACTTAGTGATTTAGCAAGACCCTGTCTCAAAATAAAATATGAAAAAAGGCTAGGGACGTAGCTCAGTGAAAAGTCCCTGGGTTCAATCCCTGATTCCATACACACCACACGCACACACATAAACACACACACATACCCACACACCAAACACCCCCCCTTTAATGGGACATATTTGCTCTTTTTCTACTTAAGAGGAAAGACTGAATTTATAGATTTAAATTTTTCAAAACATTGCCTGGAAAAGGAAGACTGCCTAGCCAATTAACTAAAATATATTTCCCACTCCATTTTTTTTCAACTATCTGCCACAAAAAAAAGCTTAGTCTCTCAATTTAGGATTAAGTATTAAAGTTCATTTTGCACAATTAGCATCCCAGATCATAGATAGCATGTCCCCCTTTAGCCACAACTTCTTGTTATTTTAAAAAAGGACCTTTGATTCAATTAATATCATATAATTAGAGGTACAAAGATTAAAAAGGCACACATCTTTATAGGATTCTAACATGACTCAGAAGGAAAATGTTAAAATTATCTTAAATACTCAACCTTTAGAACTGGTACAATGTAGGAGCCCATTTATTGTATTAAGCAGAGGTCTATACAATCGCTGATATTTTAAAAACAATCACGATGTGTTTGAACCACATATTTTACTCTATTTCAATGTTACAAAAGTTTTGAAGACAATAGTCTAACACCATTTGGTGTTCTTTTGGCAAAGCAAATTTTTTTATTAATCACTTAGAAATATTATTGTTGAAAATAATATCAAGTGCCTATATGTATTTATCCACACTATCATATTTTTCCAGGGAATACATATGTCCAGTGGAGTATTAAAAATTTTAAAAATTAAAGCTTCATTCTGTGGCCATTATCTTTGAGATACTTCATTCAGTAGATTTAAATTGGCCCCTTACTGAGAGTGAGGGAGAGCTGGGAGAACAAAAGGAAAACAATCCAATATATTAAAATGATCATAAGACTGTGAGTGAGGTCAGCATTCCTGGATACAGACGAGTGAATATAGATCCAAAGCTTATTATGAACACACACATAAATATATACATAGATAATGTGTGTATATGTGTATATATATATAATGTTTTTGTGAAACTCAAAGCATAAAGGCAAAGGTCTCTACTATGTACTTTTAAATAGTGAGAGGGAAACTTGTAGCTATTTAAATATGGCTGTTAACTATCTAAAAAGTATTCACTTCCTTAATGAAAAAAAAATTTTCTTTATAAATGAACTAATGCTTTGCTTTCTTCATATCTACTCACAGAATTTTGGACTCCTTCTCCCTGGACCTCAATTGCTCCCTAAAATCTCCTTTGCATTAGTGCTTTTGTACCAAGTACCGATACTGCTCCTGCCCCCTGTTTCCTTTAATATTAAGATACAAGTGGGGTGAATCCTAAGTCCTGTACTGAGCGAATGAAATCAAGTAGCAGAGGGAACCGAAAGCACCAGATAATTAGGTGAAAGGAAGCGCCCTGCAGCTGATTTTTAAAAGAAAGTGAGTCTGATATTAACTAGCCAGTATAAGGTTAGAACAGTAACTGATATGATAATAGAAAGTACCCGAAGAGTCAAATAAAGAAAGTATATCTTATAAAGTGTAGCTTTTTTTTTCTGCTGATGTTATGGGAATGACAGAAAGTAGTGTTATACTTTTCCTGTTCTCACGTTATTGTTGTCATATTGGCCTTAGTTTGTGTGCCCCTTGTACTTCATCACATGTTATATTTTTCTTACTCTGAGAAGTTATATTTATTATAAAAAGCCTTTGTGATAATGAACTGAATTTGTATCCAACAAATAAGCTAATCTAACTTTGAGTGGACCTGAAGTATATATCTTAAGTTGAACTTTTTCCAGTATAGGCAAACCCATGACATTCACAGGGACCCCAAGCAAGAATTCAAATAAAAAAGACATTGTTTAATGTATAAATATTACAGTGATGTGCCGAGATAAAAATTTAAATACTGTAGGTTTCATCCTCCTACCCCAACAAACCATTGTTCTAACGACCTTCTTTGCTGGGATAGTGACTAGGGTAGGCTCTGGAAGTGGTGCTGTGCGATTTGGCCCAGGAAGGCAGGTGCCTGGCAGGAAGCCAGTAGACTCAGATCAATGGAAGACCCTCTCTTTTCGGGACAAGAATCAGGGAAGAGGCCCATCTTGTCCCGGCCTGAGATCAGCATTATAAATATGGCAGGATACATTTTCCAGAGCACTTAAAACACCTGTTGATGGCAATGTATTTTAAAATTTTTTATAGCAGCAAAAACTAGTTTCCTTTTTCCTCTATGAACACTTTGCATTTTTTGAATTAAGTTTATTGGTATGTTTTAGATATATATAATGATGATATTCATCATAGGGAATTTGTACCTGTACATGATATTTCTTGGTTCTTCTGTTTTTTCCCATTCCCCTCTCTGCCATTCAACCCTCTTCCTCTCCTTAGTTACAAAAGTTTTGTTTTCATTTTGTGTTTTTAAAATTTGATTAATATGCCAGAAATTTAATTTGGGACATCAAAATCATTTTTAAAATAAATTCATTTAAACTGGATGTGGTGCTGTGTGCCCAGAATCCCACCTAATTGGGAGGCTAAGGCAGGGGTTTGCTTGAACATGGGGGTTCAAGGACAGCCTAGATTATATGACAAGACTCTGTATCATAAAAATAAATTAAAAAGTAAGAAAACATACTCAACTTAGAAAGTATTTACAACAGCAAGATATCTCATAGTATTTGAAATTCTTTCTCAAGATATGACATTAGCCTACAGTTACTTTATAAATTTTACTTAATAAACAGGGTGCAACACTCTGATATATATTGAACAGGATGAAATTCTGTCCTATTCCCTTTAGATCAAGGATTTAGTTGGAAATATGTAGTGTTTTTGTTTTGTTTTGGCCTTTCTTTTAATTTGTAGATTCTCAAAAGTAAAGTACTCATTCATGTCCATAAAAAGTAGTCCATAACATTATTATATGTCCATCATCCACAATACTATGCTAAAAGGAATTATGAAACATTTTAAGTAATTGTTAGTGAAATTTTTTTCTCTGTGAAGTGCAAAGAAGGACTCATGACGTTAGGG